GTTCTTGGGGTGGGCGCATAACGAATGCAATATCAATCGAGAAACGGCGAACTATATACCCGTAACAGCGCATAACTTGTCAAACTATGATCTGCATTTCATTATAAAAGCGCTCTCAAACAGTAACCCCGAAAACACTTACTCAGTGATCCCTTCCACTGAGGAGAAGTATATATCACTCACTATGTCGGTCTATATCAAATCATACACCGATAAAAACGGAAAACTCAAAAGTGTATGAAAATCTACGTTTCATAGACTCCTATAAATTCATGCTGTCCCCCCTTTCAAAACTCGTCGAATACTTGACGGAAGAAAAATTTTTCCTACTGGAAAATTACTTTGAAGAACTTGGTTACTCATCAGAACAGATAGCATTGATAAAACAAAAAGGTTTCTACCCGTATTCATACTTTAGTAGTTTTGAAAAGTTTCGAGAAACCCGACTGCCACCTAGAAAAATGTGGAGCAACACTTTACAGGGAGGGGAAATAAGTGTTTCAAAAAATCAGTACAACCATGCCATTAAAGTTTTCGCCGAAATGAAATGCGCATCACTAGGCGAGTACCATGATGTATACCTAGCAACGGACGTACTACTACTCGCTTCAGTATTCGAAGCCTTTCGTGAAGTTTGTTACGAAACGTACGGATTAGATTGTGCATGCTACTTCACGGCTAGTAACCTCTCGGGCGATGCATTCTTAAAAGTCTGCAATGCAGACCTCAAGTTACTTACTGAAAGGGAGCATTTGAACATGGTTCAAAAAATGATACGGGGAGGGATGTCATCGATATATGCACGCCGTTTTTTTAAAGCCAACAACAAATACCTCGAAGACTACAATCCTGAAGAGCCCTCTAGCTATCTATTGAATATAGACGCTAACAATTTATACGGGGGTATTATGAAACACTGTCCCCTTCCCATCAAAGATTTCTCAATAGTTGAGGAAAGTCTCGAATATATTTTGCAAACCGACGATAAATCTGAGTGGGGATACATTTTGGAAGTGGATCTCAGTATACCTGAAGTTATCGGCACGGATAAACTAAGTAACGAGCAAATACATATGTTAGGGGAGATGGGGGTCACGTCGCTACCAAAGGTACCAAAACTGGTTCAAACATTAGATCCAAAGGAAGGCTACGTTCTGCACTACCTTACATTAAAACTCTACATAGAACTAGGCTTAAGAGTTACCAAATTGATTAAGGTCTTAAAATTTCGTCAAGGTAGATGGATGGAGCCCTTTGTCGATTTAAACACTCAATTGAGAATGTCAGCGCGCAACAAATTTGAAGAGAACTTTTAAAAGCTCATCGAAAATTCAGCATTCGGTAAAACTATGGAATCAAAACTAGGACGCAAAAAACTAGAAATTATTAGAAACGAAAGAGAATTGCTTCAAAAAACAGCTTTGAGCACGATGAAAAGCTTCCAGATAATCGACGATGAAGTTGCTTATGTTTGTTTTGCTGTAACGAGTATTTTGTGGGACAAACCCATGATAGTTGGTGCAAGTATTTTGGATTTGTCGAAAAGATTCATGTTTTACTTTCATTATCGGCAAATGAAAGCAAGCATGAACCTTGAACTGCTATACAGTGACACAGATTCGTTTATTTATGCGATAAAAACCGAAGACGTATACGAAGATCTGCAAAAACTGACCGATAGTTTCGATTTTTCCAACTACCACAGCGATCACTTCTTATTCAGCAATGTGAATAAGAAGGTTGTATTGAAATTTAAGGACGAGGCGGCGGGAAAAATCATTGCAGAATTCATCGCGTTGAAACCAAAGCTCTACTCGTTGAAATATGCAGGTTAGTATTGAAAAAAAGCACCTCTCCAAGCCCCCTCCATTTCTTTACATTAAGGGTTCCCTTCATTGGGGTTTTGGATCTTGTTGGGACCAAATTAATAGCTTTTGTTGATCCCTGTCAATTTAATTAGACATAACTAGCCCTGAAAGGCTCTGATTCTTCATTTAAAAACTTAAAATGAAGAACCATTCATCATTTAAAATGTTTTAAACAAATACTCACCACAAACGCACTTTTGTAACTTTTGACGTGAACAAATTTAAAATTTTGACATGTAATGATTTTTTGATAATGACACGATTTGGAATTTTTATGATTTGGAATGAATTAAGATATTTAAACTTTTTGGAATTGAAAAAATTGGAATGTTATTAGATATTGAGTCTTCAAAATATTCAAATTTGGGAACCGTTTTCGTTATTAATACTAGAACTGGGCTTGCGAATTTTTATGGGCTTACAAAGCTAAAATATGTTTATGGGCTAATCCTTGTTCTTCATTTAGATTCAACTAGCAAGAGGAGTGCAAAAGGAGTAGTACAACACTCCCAGCAGCAACTTACACACCAGAGGTTCAGGGAAACATTACTGAGTGGAAAAACCCTTCGTATATACAACTACTCAATAAAATCGAAAGCCCATACCAACATAACCATAGCGCAGAACCGAATTGCCCTTTCACCCTTCGATAGTAAGCGGTTCTTACTATTCGACGGGATAGCTACATTGCCCTTTGGACACAGGTCTACAGAAGAAAATGTGTTCTTCGAGGCCATTGCGGAAGAAAGCGAGTGGGCAAACTCACAGTTGACAAATACCCCGACTTATAGCAGCGAAAACAGCGAAAGCTGGCAATCGCCAGAATTCCGGGTCCCAGATTGGGGCTTTCTTCAAGAAAGCTATACGGAGGAAGAGCTTCAAGAAGAAAGCGCAGCTAGCAGTTCAAGAGACCCTCCGCCTATCAATAATCCATTCATTCTAACAGAAGCGCCTGTTCGTTCTAGTCAGAAAAAAAAGAGAAAACTTATAAAATTGATCAATAAAATTTTTCACTTGAAAATCTCGGCTAAATTGCCTTGTTACTTCGAATTACGGCTGTACATTTGTAAATATAAAACATTCAACAAACATTGTTTTAAGTTAAATAGACCGGCGCAAAAGAGACTGGTAATTGCAACTTACCCTTGAAGCAGGAGCGAAGGATTGCGTATTTAGTTTCCCAAAGTAAGCTAATAGTAAGGCTAAAAGAATCAAAATGGTGCAAGTCGAAATTAAGGGAGACTTGGAAATAAGATTGAAAATAAAATAAGAAAGAGAAACGAACAATAATTACCAAAAATTTTTAAAAGGAAATATGAATGGTACTTGATGTAAACTCATATTTATATGAACGAAAACGATTAGCTTTTAGATAAAAATAAGCGAAAAAACCGCAGCCGGATATACCCATACTTATTTAGTGGTGGGAAAGTTTGGAAGGGATTAAATTTAACCACCGCGCGAAAATAAATACCAAAGTATTTTGTCTGTGGGGTGTCCTAAGAGAGGGGTCTTTTTATTTCGGGCAGGGTACTTTGGGGTCTTCAAAAAAGATGGGTTATTTTGGACCCTACTTTTGGTAGGACCCCAAAGACCCCTACCGTCGAAAAGACCCCCCCCCCCCCCTAAGGACACACGGCGGATTACAATACTACTCGTATTCGAATTCTTTAGCTTTCTCAATGACAGAAAATGAAGTTTATGATTCTAAGGTAATGGAATGTAAAAAAAAACAAGAGGTCTTGATCTCTGTGGTTGTTCATTACCAAGTCTAAAACAGTCGCTCACAGTGATTTCTTTAAGCTCCATCCTATCTCTGAACATTTGCAGCAAACTATTTCTGTCCTTTTCAATTTGTACAACTTTATCGTCCTGTATTTTTTCTGCTAATCCATATATCACTAGTTTCTTTCCAATAAGACGAGTCTGTTCTAACTTGGTTTGGGGTTGGAGCATTATTAATTATAGTAGATAAACTGCTGTTTTGATATATTTTCGCGCAAAACGCCAATATTTTTCTGGATTGACGATAAATCGTTACTTGGTCTAATTGACTTTTTTTAAAGAAGTTATGTTTTTTTCTGAAGTTTCTTTAAGAGTTTTCAACATTTGGTCGTTAGTCAGTTGTATTTTACATCGGCTAAATCGTTTTGGATTGCTAAATTTGCAATTTGGATTTCGTTTGTGATTTTCTCGAAAGGTTTCAATTTAACATTTTATATTTTTAAGTCTAAACACTCATCGCATTTCCAGAATAAACCTTTTATTTTGCCTAATTTTCGAAGAACTTCCTTAGGTAGTTTGTTAGTCATCGTGAAACCAGGTTTCGCAAATGTCACACGAATGACAATTATATATTGACACACACAAATGACGCATATATTCTGTTTGTTTAACATTTTCCGTTTCATTTTTGGCATTTTCCAGGAAAAACTTGGTGGAATAATTGGACACATCTCATCAAGCTCAACAATCCGCTCCAAGGCTCAGTTGACTCTGGATGCCTGCAATCCAGCCCAAGTGTCCACCTATATGGATCTGTTGGAGTGTTCTTTCAAAAGTTTCCTCCAAACCAGTCCAACACTTCACTACTGGGTAAAGTTTTTTTCAGGCCCCCGACACGCACAGTTTCATTAGTCAGCTTAGTTTGATCTGATACAGCATTGGGACGCAAAAAAGCAATTTTATTTTAAATAAAAAAAATTTTGGATCCATTTTTCTTTTCGAAGCAAACCGCACGTGCAATTTGAATAAACGACGTAGCTAAACACCTATAGTCGCAGTATCAGAGGCAATGACATTAAAACAGGACTGTTAAATTTTTGGAGCTTTAGAACAACAAAAAGATTCATTTCCCCTAGTATGGCGATAGAACAAAGTCACTTACTATGTACTGACGTTAAAATTGGGCACCGCAGCGAATTCAGAAAAAGGCGCCAATCAAACTTGATATTAAAAAGTAGGAAATGGGCGGTCTGAACTGGGATTCGATGAAATTATAGCCAAGTCAGAAAGGGCATCCCTTATACAGCCCAAATCTGACTTCGGCTACAGCTTAGGATTCGGGACACGATCTTCTATTACTTTCAAATGCTGTTTATTATGTCTTCCTTAGTTCAGACTTTATTGGGAAGTCAGAGCTGAATTGTAATGAACAACTTTGGCTGTCATGTAAGAAACACGCTGTAAGAACGATTGCTGGCCAATTGAACTGATCTTGTTCGTTTGTTAGTTCCGTCACAGTCACACGCCGAGATTTAAATCCCAGCCTTGATATTAACGAGTTAAAAATTATCTTCTAAGCGACAGAGCTCGCCGCCTTAGCTGATAAAATACATTAACTTAGCAGAGGGTGATCTACATATATAATACGGGATATTCAACTCCACACAAGCAAAAAAAACCACATATAATGATCAAAAGGCAGCCGATTTACATAATTCTTCATGAAAAAAATTACACAGCGACAATGATTGGAAATTGTAGACTCGTAAAAAAACACAAGACCCGTAAGCACTGCTGGTAAATTAATGAACTAAATTAAATCAAAGTTGATGTAGACAAAAGTATCTATTAATTGTAGCTTGGTCTCATTTCATTTCCTTCTCCTCAGTTTGCAGCAATGTGACTTGTTGTGGCTTCCTTGGCTGCTCTCTTTGCCATGGCTGAGAAGTAGAGAGAGGGAAAGAGCACTCTGGCTAGGGGGACCAGGCGGTGGTACCAGGGGGCGATGCACACATCCTTCCTACCTATTCAAACGAGCAGGTAGACATTATTACAAAATAAGAATTGTTTGAAACATTATAATAACTATCCCGCCGGGATTTAACTCTCGATTGTAACTTCCATATGTTTTACAGAACTTCTGTACCATGCAAAAAATATCGAACAATGAGCCGAGTAATGTTTAATCGACAAGCAAAATATTGCTAATGCCTAAAGCCATAAAATACTTGAGGAGTGTTGAACGTCTTGCTCATTTTTGGAAATTTGAAAACCTCCATCCTTTTAATTAAATTCTAACAAACACGCCCCAAATCAGTAGCTTTACCACAAATACCAGGAGGAGTTTCGTGCCACTTGTAATACATCACGAACGTAACATGGCGTGGAAGAGGCGAGACAATCGACAAAAAATTAGCCGGAAGTCAAGGCCGACAAAAACTTGAAAAAACTATGAGGAAAATTCTGTCCACCAAGAATTTTCATAACACGATTCGTTTCCAGAAAAATTCAATTTAGAAGATTCGTGTAGACATGAACTATTGTCGACCTTAACCTATTACACAGAGGTGAAGTTGCACTTCGTACACACAAGCAAAAATATCACCGAAAACGCTACTGGGAAAAACTGAATGAGTAAAACTTTGAGTCTACAAATTTTCTTAAGTGACGCACGCCAATTATGAGTCTAGATAATTGCTAAGTGAGGCAAGCTAATTATGAGTCTAGATAATTGCTAAGTGAGGCAAGCCAATTATGAGGCATTAGCAGTATCAGTCAATTTGAAAAGGTATTTACCAATATGCCTCAATTTATAGAGCGGACGCATTTTAACTAGCATACGAAAAATTCATTAATAAACATCCGACCCTGCCCAAGTTCATACCCTCCTATTTTGCTGCTGGTCTCCTTCCCTACCTCTACGCGACATAACCATAATACCTTGAAGCTAAAGTGCTATTTGTAATACAATAGTGTGTTAAAATCCTTGGCATTTGGTGTACGTAAACGCTGGTTACTGACCTTATGCATATACTGCAATAAAGGAGCACTTTCAAAAAGAGCACTAATATTTGCGAATTAGGTTGGAAAAAAACAGTTCGTAATATCACACAAGCTTTGCTTGTGTAATAATTAGCGAGAGTAGAAAGCGGTAACTACGCCGACAACATTTGGGTGCGCGATCGTAGCGCCAAACATCAAACTTTAATAATAAGCCACGCTATCTACTGATTCAAGTGATTGGCTCTTTTCGCTTTTCATTCAACGTTTGAATTAGAATTTCGAAAACCATTTCAGCGTTATCATAATGTATTAAAAAGTTGCCCGCTGAATAAAGTAACTACTGTGAACACATCTATTGCAAACACAAGCGATGAAACAACAATGAGCTGAGAAAAAGAAATAGGAAAAGAAATGGTAATAACAAACCTTCAAAATGAAAAACTTCAACTGGGAAACATTCGAACCTACGACCAGGAGATTGAAGTCGCACGTCCTTGCATCTGCGCCACTAACTTTAAGCCAAAATGATAATTGATAATTCAAAAAAATGCGAGATATATTGCAGTGCAAAACTTTTGATCGGCAGTTTTTATTCTTGCACTGTTGTTTTTTTTCGGTTCGTTCAAATTCGGTACGGTTGTCGCATTACTAATCGAAAGTCATAGCAAATGCAATCAAAAGCCGTAGCAGTGCCTTCAGAAGCCGTAACAGTGCCTCCTTCGCACCACTTGTGATAAAAATAGATCTATCAAAATTAAAGAAAATAGTTGTGAAAATCAGCATAAGAACATAATTAAGCAGGCGGCGAAAAAGCCAAAAATACCTGAGCCGAGACTTTTTTTAAACGTAAAGCTAATGAAAAATGTTAAAGTTCCCCTTTCTCTCAAAACATATACAGGCACAAAAAAAACTTTCAGGCATCAAACAACGCAAAAGAGGCTACTACGCCGAAATAACACAGCCGAAAGCCTCTCAAATCGAAATAAAAAATTCAGCAAACCTAGTGGTTAAAATACAATCAACTTTAAAAATGCGGATGCGAGTGCGAAAAATGTGTTTCCCTTGACATAGAAAAATTCGGTCACTCAGACGATAAACAACAATAAATCGAAATAATTTTGACCGATTAAAATTTTTAAGCAAAAAAAAACGAAATACAAAATCAAGGTAAGTAAAATTACAAATTGAAGGAATAAAAGAAACATTAAGAGCAACCTTCAAGGAAAATGCGCGCAGCAACAAGAGTTAGCAACTCAGCCGACAGAAGATAATCAGAAAAATAATTGTCCGACAATTTTATTTGAAACAGAAAATTTCCCGCTCAAAAAAACTGGTACTGATCAGGTTTAAACCCAGGAACTTTGCGTCCAGGATTATTCAGTACCTCCAGGTTAATAGGGTCGCGAAGGCTAAATTTGAATTAATTATAAAGCAAGGCACCACTAGAGATGAGTCCAGATGAGATGAATCCTGTGAACAAAGTTATTTACGAGCAAAAAAATTCTAATACCCGATTGCAATAACCTTGCATTAAGCCAAAATGATAACTGATAATTCAAAAAAACGCGAGATATATTGCAGTGCAAATTTTTTGATCGGCAGTTTTTATTCTTGCACTGTTGTTTTTTTCGGTTCGTTCAAATTCGGTCCGGTTGTCGCATTACTAATCGAAAGTCATAGCAAATGCAATCAAAAGCCGTAGCAGTGCCTTCAAAAGCCGTAACGATGCCTCCTTCGCACAACTTGTGATAAAAGTAGATCGATCAAAATTAAGGAAGATAGTTGTGAAAATCAGCATAAGAACATAATTAAGTAGGCCGCGAAACAGCCGAAAATACCTGAGCCGAGACTCTTTTTAATTTAAAACTAAAAATGTTAAGGTTCCCCTTTCCCTCAAAACATATACAGGCACACAAAAAAACTTTCAAGCATCAAACAACGCAAAAGAGGCTACTACGCCGAAATAACACAGCCGAAAGCCTATCAAATCGAAATAAGAAAATTCAGCAAACCTAGTGGTTAAAATACAATCAACTTTAAAAATGCGGATGCGAGTGCGAAAAATGCGTTTCCCTTGACATAGCAAAATTCGGTCCACTAAGACAATAAACAATAGATCGCAATAATTCTGACCGATTAAAATTTTCAAGCAAAAAAAAACGAAATACAAAATCAAGGTAAATAAAATTACAAATTGCAGGAACAAATGAAACAGTAAGAGCAACCTTGAAGAAAAATGCGCGCAGCAAAAAAGATTTGGCAACTCAGCCGACAAAAGATAATCAGACAAATAATTGGCCGACAAATTTATTTGACACAGAATATTTCCCGCTCGAAAAAAAACAGGTACTGATCAGGTTTAACCCCAGGACCTTTGCGTCCAGGATTATTCGTTACCTCCAGATTAATTGGGTCGCGAAGGCTAAATTTGAATTAATTATAAAACAAGGCACCACTAGAGTTGAGTCCAGATGAGATGAATCCTGTGAACAAAGTTATTTACGAGCAAAAAAGTCTAATACCCGATTGCAATAACCTTGCATTAAGCCAAAATGATAACTGATAAGTCAAAAAAACGCGAGATATATTGCAGTTCAAAACTTTTGATCGGCAGTTTTTATTCTTGCACTATTGTTTTTTTTCGGTTCGTTCAAATTCGGTCCGGTTGTCGCATTAATAATCGAAAGTCATAGCAAATGCAATCAAAAGCCGTAGCAGTGCTTTCAAAAGCCGTAACAGTGCCTCCTTCGCACAACTTGTGATAAAACTAGATCGATCAAAATTAATGAAGATAGTTGTGAAAATCAGCATAAGAACATAATTAAGTAGGCCGCGAAACAGCCGAAAATACCTGAGCCGAGACTCTTTTTAATTTAAAACTAAAAATGTTAATGTTCCCCTTTCCCTCAAGACATATACAGGCACAACAAAAAAACTTTCAAGCATCAAACAACGCAAAAGAGGCTACTACGCCGAAATAACACAGCCGAAAGCTTATCAAATCGAAATAAAAAATTCAGCAAACCTAGTGGTTAAAATACAATCAACTTTAAAAATGCGGATGCGAGTGCGAAAAATGTGTTTCCCTTGACACAGCAAAATTCGGTCCACTAAGACGATAAACAATATATCGAAATAATTCTGACCGATTAAAATTTTCAAGCAAAAAAAAAACGAAATACAAAATCAAGGTAAATAAAATTACAAATTGCAGGAACAAATGAAACAGTAAGAGCAACCTTGAAGAGCAACTCAGCCGACAAAAGATAATCAGACAAATAATTGGCCGACAACTTTATTTGACACAGAATATTTCCCGCTCGAAAAAAAACAGGTACTGATCAGGTTTAAACCCAGGACCTTTGCGTCCAGGATTATTCGTTACCTATAGATTAATTGGGTCGCGAAGGCTAAATTTGAATTAATTATAAAAACAAAGCACCACTAGAGTTGAGTCCAGATGAGATGAATCCTGTGAACAAAGTTATTTACGAGCAAAAAAAGTCTAATACTCGATTGCAATACCCTTGCTTATGGCAAGGGTAGTTTTTGTAGAGTTGTATGTAACAAATAGTTATCTTAACTTGAGTTAATTTGATGAATTAAAAATGCACTAACTGTGTTACCTTATTAGTAATCGAATGTCAAAAATGCCATTAAAAAGCCACTTCAGCCTTCTGATTCTAAAATTTCACCGACTAATATTTACGTCTTAGATTTGAAAAGGAACAAAGGCCTCGTTGTATTACTTTAAGCTCTGCTTCTGTTCAGAAAGCTATAGGAAAATAATTGAAAAAAAAATGTGAATACAGCAAAACATTGAAATATGCTGTTAATTTTTTCCTCAAATTTAGGCACGTATAATCTTTTGAAGATATTTTGACTCACTGTGTGAGCATACTCCAGGGTTGTAACCTTGATCTTTTGAGCTGATTCAATATAATTTCATGAAACTGCTTTGTTCGATTATGCAGCTAATGTTAGCTGAGTCTCATGTTGTAATAAGTAGCCTTGTAGTATGACACTACGCTGCATTGTGTAATTAAGCTGTCAAAAAAATGCAGCGAAGATGTTGGCCAAAATGAACCATTATAAGCTAGTTAAATTGGGGAAAAAGTTAGCTCGTAATGTAACACAGAAATCGCACCCTCTCCTGGGTCCTGGGTAAATACAAGAAAACATAGAGACGTAGTCTATGGCAGGATTTTTACAAGCTTACAGTTTCCTTTAAAAAATAGTATTTGCCTATTGTAGCTATAAATGAAAAGTAGTCGTGCCTGAGACGAATGCCTCCACTGTCTGTCGTGCACATTCCGAAGCACTCATTCCATTAGCTATTGTCTTGTCCATTTTTCCATATGACTGAAACACAAATCACGCACAATAATTGCTGATTTAATTGAGCAGCAGTGAATTATACATTTTCACTCTTTCAAATTTTTCAAATTTTTTTAACTTTCGATATTCCAAGAAAAAATACATGACAGGAAAAAAACGGACATTCCAACTTTCGAATTTTAAATTTAAAAAATATATTTCAATTTTTTTTTTTTAATTTAATGACAAGAACAATTTTTAAGTTTTTTCTCTCTGTGATCAATCAAAGTCCTCTATTTTTTATCGCAATTAGTGCGAAGCTCAGCTTAGCCTATCTGGCATATGTTTCTAAAATTGAATTTTTCATTTTTCGAAAAAAAAAAAAATTTTAATTGATGATTTTTATCGCACTTCCTATGTGATAGCTTGCAATGCTACGCTTTCTTTGTATCGCAAGTGATTTGAAGCCCACTTGGAATTTTCAGAAAATTTAAGGCTCTTGGAACTTCAAGAAAAACCTACCATTGATACTTTTTTCACAGAGAAGCGAAGCTGGGCTTCAAATCACTGAAGATACAAAGAAAGCGTAGCATTGCAAGCTATCACATAGGAAGTGCGATAAAAATCATCAATTAAAAAAAAAAAATTTTGAAAATGAAAAAATCATCTTCAGAAACATAGGCCACATAAGCTAACCTGAGCTTCGCACTAATTGCGATAACAAATAGAGGGCTTTGATTGATCACAGAGAGAAAAAACTTCAAAAATTATTCTTGTCATTAAAATTTAAAAAAAAAATTGAAATTGCTATAAAACTGCATAAAAAATTGCTAAATGTGTGAAAAAAGTTTCTAAAATATCCTTCACCTGTCAAAACTTTGAAAAGCCTTTCGGAATGCTAGAATGAAGTCAACTTTTTTACACGATCTTTCTGCATAACTTAGTCAACTAGAAGCAGACAAAATACTCAGAAATAGCCGAAAAATTTTTCAATTTGCCAAAAAAAAACTGGTCTCTGCTAAAATCAAATTCCTGCGCTTTGTCGACTCAAGCGTGGGTGTTATGAGAACTTGGAAGAATGCTGAACCCTCAAGAAAAATCCGGCTAGGGGAACAAAGCCGACAGAAATAAAAGAAAAAGCAAAAATACTCTGGTTTGCACAAACAGGATTCGAACCACCAGCCTCTGCGGTCTCGAGCAATGTGTTAACTCTACGCCAGATGCACTGGATTGTTGATTGAATTTGAATTTATGATTACTAAGAGGTAACAAAGCCAAAAAAAACTTGAGCAGAAACCACCAAAAAAAATCAAAATTTACACAAATCAACAAAGTTTAACTCCCTTTTCGCTTCAGAACATACAAACGCATACCGAAATTTTTCCGGTCCTCACACGGCTCAAACACACAAGCAAAACTATGACCGATAACGCTACTGGGAAAAAATTCAATGAGTGAAACTTTGGGTCTACAAATTTTCTTAAGTGACGCACGCCAATTATGAGTCTACGTAATTGCTAAGTGAGGCAAGCCAATTCTGACGCTTAAGCAGTACCAGTCAATTTGAAAAAGAAAAAAGAAATTTACCAACTAACATGCCTCACTTTATTAAGCAGACGCATTTCAACTAGTATACGAAAAAAATCATTCAAAACATCGGACCCAGCGCAGGATCGAACTCGCTTATTTTGTTGCGGGTCTCCTTCCCCACCTATAAGCTACAGATCCATGATACCTTGAAGCTTAAGTGATATTTGTAAAATAGTAGTCTGTGTTAAAATCCTTAGCATTGGCGTTACTGAATAGCTGGTTATTGATCAAAATGAACACATTTTGTCGCAACAATATTTGCGTCGCAACAATACTTGCGACCTAGGTTGGAAAAAAAAAGGGTTAATACTATAACACAATCACTGCTTTTGTAAACAACAACAAAAAATCGATTATGCCGGATTTCTAAAAAGCTAACATGCTCAAAATATGTTTGTTACAAAAGGCCCAGCAGATGAATGATTCCAGGAGTTGAGTCCGGTGAACCAAGTTTTTAACGAGGAAAAAAAAGACAGTACCGAATGGAATACCGTTGCTCAAATTTTTTATTCCGCTGAGAAGCACGAAAACCAAATTCCTCTTTAGAAATTAAAAACTCTTTCACGTTTTTTGCCTCATTTCCGCTTTCGTATTTGGAGGGCGCATTTTGCCTACTTTTTATAATTAGACTAAGCAAACTAATTTGTTTGAACTAAAAAAAAGAAAGCATACCTAAGTGCATCCATAAACTCATTAATATGTATGAATGCTCATCTGCAATTATAAGAAACCTTTTTTAAAAATTTCCCGCAGAAAAACAAACAAAAACTCATCAAGACCTATATAAACGCAAACCTCTCCGTTCGTTTACACTTAATAAATTGAACAGTTAAGCGACCAAAACAGTTGCCTCTAGACGATTGAAATGACTAATGTCTCCAGCTAGATACCAAAACTTAGACAAATTCGTGGTTTATGAAGATCGCTAGCAATAGTAACCAACGAACTGCTTAGGTATTCAGCAGGGGGTCCACAGCTGTTGCCCCGAAACAACTGAGAAGCTCTCACGGATTCCGTGAAACTAACCCGATAAATAATTTACCAGAAACAATAAATCAAGTGCATCACAGCGCTTATTGGTGAATACTCGCTGCCTCGTTTCAGCGGATTTTTTAAACTAAAAATTGATGAAATATAATTAGTCTGCTTGATCAATTTATTGCTTTCGTCTGAAATAAAAATGGAGCAATGAGTGTAGGTAGAACAGCAATTCGTTTATTAGTTTGGGAAAGTTAAAATTCGGGTTAGTTGAAAACAAGCTCTTATATTGTTGCTTCAGTGGCAGCAAGCTTCTTTGAAGTATTTTAACTTTTCCTTGTGAATACAAATGTCTCGCAGACTATCTAACATAATGAGGAAGAGAAGAGGCACTCACTTCTCCTGAGCCGGTGGTGGAATTGAGAGATATCTCGGTCTGCACATATCCGGGACTCAAAACACACACTGCTATGTGGCTGTGCACTGCCTCCAACTCTGCTCGCAGTGAGAGGTAGAATGCCTCACATGCATGTTTAGAGGCGCCGTAACAGGAGCGGAAGGGAAGAGAGATTTTACCCTGCAGAGAGCTAAACAAAAACCACACATTCCACATTCCAACCCCCTCGCCCGTCACACACACACACAGACACTATTGCCACTCGTTTGAACGACGTCGTGAGGCACCTATCGGTTAAAAGGAAGACCCTACAAGTCATGGTATATTTGTATTTTGTTCAAACTGGGAAAACAATTCTCATCGCAATTATTAAGTATTGAAACAACTCAACATCAATGAGCCTATGAACGCATAAGCGATTGTGGATCCACGTCCACCGCTCTCCCCCGGGGTTGAGATCAATTTTCAAATTACAAACCTAATTGAGCTTGAATTTACACACAGAGTCCTAGCGGAGCTTCGCACCACTTGCGAGACAACACACAAAAAAAGCATGGGTCGAATAAAAATGAAAAATGATGAAAAAACTAGGCGAACCAAAACTTTCGTATGTCTCGAGGAATGACACCTAGTGCTCAGCTAAAACTGGAGGTAATTATTTGATATTTTTTGAGTTTGCTATACTAATGTGGGGCGAAATGCGTAATTTTAAAAATCTGCACAAAAGCTTAGTTGTTTCTCAACTAAAATAAGTGAGAAAAGTGAAAATTCCCAAAAACCTAGCTTTGTTCTTTGTAATGAGTAGCGGCTTCTGCAGGAAGTTCGCGCAACCACTTCTTTCGATTGAAATTTTTATCTCAGATTTGTTCTACAAAACGGTCAAAATTCAAAATTTGACTGTCCAAAGTTCTACAAAACGGTCGAAGTTCAAAAACTTGACTGTCCGAAGTATTTTTTTCTTCGTTGTAGTGGCCGGTAAAGTAGAGAGGATTCCCAAAATCGGGTTTCTCGACTGAACGCTAACCTGAGAATCGGCACGGTAATTTTCGAGTCCAGTAAAAAAAATTTCACTTGTATGATGACTTGAGCGGTCAGGACTTGAGATATATGTAAAAGCGAGGTATTAAGCATTAATTATATATTATTACAGCTATCGTTGTTGCTGGTAGCTGGACTAATCGATTAGTGATTCTTGTATACTTGATCAGTATGAACAATTTGGTGATATTTACAGTGTTATATACTAATCAAACAGCAAAATTTCCATTAGGAACAATCCATAATTAAATAATGATAACTATTTTTCTTGGATAAAGTTTGATATAACAGTTCAATGACATCATTATATTCTAAGATTATGACCCAACTTCTCTTTAAAAAAGGTCGAACAAACCACTGATCAGTTGGTCTAAGACAATGTCGATGAAAATGACATGGCTGCTTCGGTTTTTAGACAATCTTCTCTGTCTCTGGATGTTAGAATAACTGCTAACAACCCTTGAGTGGGTTTCTTTCTTCTTTTTCTTCAGTAGTCGCCTCCTTCGCGACTATCCTGAATTGGCCCAATCTTGGTCGTTAGTGATGATGGCTGTTAGCAGACGTCAGCACCATGCAAAATTCCTCAAAATTGCCAGGATTTAATGAATTAGAATATCCGTATTCTTGTTTTCGTCTTCTTCCGCATGAAATCGTATCGCTCTGCTGGCGATCCCACACTCCTGCTACCACATGATGACTTCAGCGGTCAGAACTTGAGATATATGTAAAAGCGAGGTTTTAAGCATTAAGCAAAAATCCGGCTAGGGGAACAAAGCCGACAGAAATAAAAGAAAAAGCAAAAATACTCTGGTTTGCACAAACAGGATTCGAACCACCAGCCTCTGCGGTCTCGAGCAATGTGTTAACTCTACGCCAGATGCACTGGATTGTTGATTGAATTTGAATTTATGATTACTAAGAGGTAACAAAGCCAAAAAAAACTTGAGCAGAAACCACCAAAAAAAATCAAAATTTACACAAATCAACAAAGTTTAACTCCCTTTTCGCTTCAGAACATACAAACGCATACCGAAATTTTTCCGGTCCTCACACGGCTCAAACACACAAGCAAAACTATGACCGATAACGCTACTGGGAAAAAATTCAATGAGTGAAACTTTGGGTCTACAAATTTTCTTAAGTGACGCACGCCAATTATGAGTCTACGTAATTGCTAAGTGAGGCAAGCCAATTCTGACGCTTAAGCAGTACCAGTCAATTTGAAAAAGAAAAAAGAAATTTACCAACTAACATGCCTCACTTTATTAAGCAGACGCATTTCAACTAGTATACGAAAAAAAATCATTCAAAACATCGGACCCAGCGCAGGATCGAACTCGCTTATTTTGTTGCGGGTCTCCTTCCCCACCTATAAGCTACAGATCCATGATACCTTGAAGCTTAAGTGATATTTGTAAAATAGTAGTCTGTGTTAAAATCCTTAGCATTGGCGTTACTGAATAGCTGGTTATTGATCAAAATGAACACATTTTGTCGCAACAATATTTGCGTCGCAACAATACTTGCGACCTAGGTTGGAAAAAAAAGGGTTAATACTATAACACAATCACTGCTTTTGTAAACAACAACAAAAAATCGATTATGCCGGATTTCTAAAAAGCTAACATGCTCAAAATATGTTTGTTACAAAAGGCCCAGCAGATGAATGATTCCAGGAGTTGAGTCCGGTGAACCAAGTTTTTAACGAGGAAAAAAAAGACAGTACCGAATGGAATACCGTTGCTCAAATTTTTTATTCCGCTGAGAAGCACGAAAACCAAATTCCTCTTTAGAAATTAAAAACTTTCACGTTTTTTGCCTCATTTCCGCTTTCGTATTTGGAGGGCGCATTTTGCCTACTTTTTATAATTAGACTAAGCAAACTAATTTGTTTGAACTAAAAAAAAGAAAGCATACCTAAGTGCATCCATAAACTCATTAATATGTATGAATGCTCATCTGCAATTATAAGAACCTTTTTTAAAAATTTCCCGCAGAAAAACAAACAAAAACTCATCAAGACCTATATAAACGCAAACCTCTGTTCGTTTACACTTAATAAATTGAACAGTTAAGCGACCAAAACAGTTGCCTCTAGACGATTGAAATGACTAATGTCTCCAGCTAGATACCAAAACTTAGACAAATTCGTGGTTTATGAAGATCGCTAGCAATAGTAACCAACGAACTGCTTAGGTATTCAGCAGGGGGTCCACAGCTGTTGCCCCGAAACAACTGAGAAGCTCTCACGGATTCCGTGAAACTAACCCGATAAATAATTTACCAGAAACAATAAATCAAGTGCATCACAGCGCTTATTGGTGAATACTCGCTGCCTCGTTTCAGCGGATTTTTTAAACTAAAAATTGATGAAATATAATTAGTCTGCTTGATCAATTTATTGCTTTCGTCTGAAATAAAAATGGAGCAATGAGTGTAGGTAGAACAGCAATTCGTTTATTAGTTTGGGAAAGTTAAAATTCGGGTTAGTTGAAAACAAGCTCTTATATTGTTGCTTCAGTGGCAGCAAGCTTCTTTGAAGTATTTTAACTTTTCCTTGTGAATACAAATGTCTCGCAGACTATCTAACATAATGAGGAAGAGAAGAGGCACTCACTTCTCCTGAGCCGGTGGTGGAATTGAGAGATATCTCGGTCTGCACATATCCGGGACTCAAAACACACACTGCTATGTGGCTGTGCACTGCCTCCAACTCTGCTCGCAGTGAGAGGTAGAATGCCTCACATGCATGTTTAGAGGCGCCGTAACAGGAGCGGAAGGGAAGAGAGATTTTACCCTGCAGAGAGCTAAACAAAAACCACACATTCCACATTCCAACCCCCTCGCCCGTCACACACACACACACAGACACTATTGCCACTCGTTTGAACGACGTCGTGAGGCACCTATCGGTTAAAAGGAAGACCCTACAAGTCATGGTATATTTGTATTTTGTTCAAACTGGGAAAACAATTCTCATCGCAATTATTAAGTATTGAAACAACTCAACATCAATGAGCCTATGAACGCATAAGCGATTGTGGATCCACGTCCACCGCTCTCCCCCGGGGTTAAGATCAATTTTCAAATTACAAACCTAATTGAGCTTGAATTTACACACAGAGTCCTAGCGGAGCTTCGCACCACTTGCGAGACAACACACAAAAAAAGCATGGGTCGAATAAAAATGAAAAATGATGAAAAAACTAGGCGAACCAAAACTTTCGTATGTCTCGAGGAATGACACCTAGTGCTCAGCTAAAACTGGAGGTAATTATTTGATATTTTTTGAGTTTGCTATACTAATGTGGGGCGAAATGCGTAATTTTAAAAATCTGCACAAAAGCTTAGTTGTTTCTCAACTAAAATAAGTGAGAAAAGTGAAAATTCCCAAAAACCTAGCTTTGTTCTTTGTAATGAGTAGCGGCTTCTGCAGGAAGTTCGCGCAACCACTTCTTTCGATTGAAATTTTTATCTCAGATTTGTTCTACAAAACGGTCAAAATTCAAAATTTGACTGTCCAAAGTTCTACAAAACGGTCGAAGTTCAAAAACTTGACTGTCCGAAGTATTTTTTTCTTCGTTGTAGTGGCCGGTAAAGTAGAGAGGATTCCCAAAATCGGGTTTCTCGACTGAACGCTAACCTGAGAATCGGCACGGTAATTTTCGAGTCCAGTAAAAAAAAATTTCACTTGTATGATGACTTGAGCGGTCAGGACTTGAGATATATGTAAAAGCGAGGTATTAAGCATTAATTATATATTATTACAGCTATCGTTGTTGCTGGTAGCTGGACTAATCGATTAGTGATTCTTGTATACTTGATCAGTATGAACAATTTGGTGATATTTACAGTGTTATATACTAATCAAACAGCAAAATTTCCATTAGGAACAATCCATAATTAAATAATGATAACTATTTTTCTTGGATAAAGTTTGATATAACAGTTCAATGACATCATTATATTCTAAGATTATGACCCAACTTCTCTTTAAAAAAGGTCGAACAAACCACTGATCAGTTGGTCTAAGACAATGTCGATGAAAATGACATGGCTGCTTCGGTTTTTAGACAATCTTCTCTGTCTCTGGATGTTAGAATAACTGCTAACAACCCTTGAGTGGGTTTCTTTCTTCTTTTTCTTCAGTAGTCGCCTCCTTCGCGACTATCCTGAATTGGCCCAATCTTGGTCGTTAGTGATGATGGCTGTTAGCAGACGTCAGCACCATGCAAAATTCCTCAAAATTGCCAGGATTTAATGAATTAGAATATCCGTATTCTTGTTTTCGTCTTCTTCCGCATGAAATCGTATCGCTCTGCTGGCGATCCCACACTCCTGCTACCACATGATGACTTCAGCGGTCAGAACTTGAGATATATGTAAAAGCGAGGTTTTAAGCATTATTTATATATTATTACAGCTATCGTTGTTGCTGGTAGCTGGACTAATCGGTTAGTGATTGTTGTATACTTGATCAGTATGAACAATTGGGTGATATTTACAGTATTATATAATAATCAACCAGCAAAATTTCCATTAGGAACAATCCATAATTAAATCATGATAACTATTTCTCTTGGATAAGGTTTGATATTTCAGTTCAATGACATCATGATATTCTAAGATCATGACAACTTGTTTATAGGCCAAAACTTTCTTCTCAAAGAAACTGGACATAGTAATCTATAAGGGTAAGCTTCCAACAACCTTTTGGTTCGCTTAAACCTGTGATATCAGATTTTTCAGGAAAGTTATTGACAAATGTCCAAAAAAAACGGTCAACAATTTTAAAAAAGACATTTCCAAAAATCATAGCTTTTTGTGTTACCAAACTTGAGATAAACCGCTTAAGCATAAAAAATTCACGCAACCTGTAATTTCGATTGAACCCAAAAAATATTTCTCGAGAAAAGCAAGAAATTTCAAAAACGATAAAAAATCAAAATTTCGACTTTTCCGAGAGCCATAACTTTTTCTGTCAAATAAATTCGGGCCTAATCGCGAGGACAAAATAATTTCTTACAACCAGTTCTTTGGATTGAACCCAAATTTTCAGATATTAGAGGGTATTTTCTCGGTTAAATTGAAAAAACTTAGACAAAACGCTTAGAACTCAAAAAATTGATTTTCCGAGGGCCAGAAATTTTTGTGTTAAAAATTGTGAGTAGCCCCGCTAAAGCAGGGTAGCTTTGCACTACCCGTTAGTTCCACTGAATCCACAATTTCAGGTTTCTGGCATAATTTTCTTATATCGGGGAGTTTTCAGACCCGTTCTAATCATTGAAACCAAAAAACTAAAAAATAGATTTGGTAGGTTAGTTTTTATGAAATCGAAAAAAATAATAATATCGAAATAAAAATATCGGTCAAAAATCCCCCCACAGACCTTTTCGAAGGCTGCAGAAAAAAGGGGAAGGCAAAAAAGACCGAATGAGTATGCAGGAATATAAAACTGTAGGCGGACTTTTTATGGATAACACTTTTTTAAAAACGGTAGAAGGGTTTTTCAGAAAAAAAAACAATATTTTTGCAAAAAGTTTTAAAATTTTGCAAAGCGCCTCAAAAAATAAAAAACCCATATACTTTCATAATATGTTTTTATCACACAGAGAATCTAGGAAAACATGCCAAGCAAGATATTTGAAATTCGACTTAGCAACTGGACAAAAAAAAACGAAGCTGAAACAAGGCCGACAATCTTTGAGCAGAAACCAGTTGAGTAGAAAAAAATTATTGAAAATAAACTTTAAAAACACTTAAAAGTTTCAAGTCCCCTTGAAACTACTTTGTAGTAACTAGTACCCAGCCAGTAGTTAAAACTCAATTTTCATGAAATTGAGCAAGTCAGCTGAACAGCATGTAAGGTGAAGAGCGTTGAATATGTCAAGCAATGCAACTGATTTTGTAAAACTAATTGTTAACAACAAAAAGTCTTCATTCCGATTTGATAACGCTTGCTTATCGCAACCGTAAAGATGTAAACGAGTGAGTAGTTTTTCGTTTCTCAAGTATACCTATAAAACCCTTCATAGCAAAGAAACATTTATGATTGAAAGCCTCGAAAAACTTTGTCAACCTATATTTAAGTCAGCTAGTTTAAACATTTCAAGCCGCTGAAATGACAGCAAAACGCTTGAATAAACGTATTCATCAGAGAGTATGAAAAGAGTCATGAACACAAGTAAAGCAGAAAACAAAACTGTCTTATTTTTTTTTTGAAAAATCTCAATGGGCTTGACAATCTTTGAATTTCTAGAAAAATTTATGCTGCCATTTTTTGAGAATAGAGGCGAAGCTTCTTTTCGCAAACACTAGCGAGAATACGACAAAGCAGTTCTAGAAATTGCAATAGGAAAAAAATAGAAATAAGCTTCAAATTAGCCAAAAATTCGGCTAGGTCTAGGATTCGATCTGCGACCTACTGCAATCAAGAGATTTTGAGTATGACGCACTAACCACTCAGCCACGCAAGCTTAACTAACGACAACCACTAGTCACGAAAAACCCAGCTAAATATGCTTATAACTTGCCAACGCCACTCAGCAAAAGTGGCACCAAATACAAATACTGTATTTTGCCATTGATAATTTGAAATATAATAAACTGAAGGCATCCACACTACTTTTGCATGAAACAAATCGCAAATCATAAAGCCATATTATGTAGAAAAAATTATGCATTTCAAAAACTGCGAGATCTAACAAATTAGAAATTTTCTGAAACCGAGTTGTTACACAGAAGCGAGGTTGCACTTCGCATACACAAGCAAAAATATGACCGCATTTTAGCTGGTGTACGAAAAAGTTCATTTAAAACAGCCGACCCTGCCCAAGTTTAAACCCTCTTATTTTAGCGAATTTCTTTCACTGCCTCTACGCTACAGATCCATGATACCTTGAAGCCAAAGTGCTTTTTGTAAAATAACTTTTCCTGAACACAAAACAAAAAAATCACCAAGACCTATAAAAGGGAGCTCGCAACGTTCATGAATCTTAATAAAATTTATTTTTCCGAGTGCTTTAAGATGGTTTAGACCAAAATTGCCATTTTTCAAGCGCACTCGCACTGTTCACTCAAAGACCGAGTGCGCTTCAAATGTTATATATTGTGGCTGAAGGCTATTTTAGAAAAAGAAACAGATTTGGTGTACCATGGAAGTTGTAATGAGATAGAATGAAAGGGACCTGATTGCGACAATCCAACACTGCTGCTGTTGTTGGCTCTGCTCAAGCATGGATGGCAGGAGTGCCTTGGTGAGGACAATGTGGGAGAAGAAGTTCAAGGTCATCACTCTCTGGTACACCCCCACACTCGTCTTCTCCACACTGTCTCTGCAACTCATGCCCGCATTGTTGATTAGACCGTGCACTAACATCAACACACCCAAGTCACGCTTACTTACTCGATGCGATCACAACATATAGACATATATTCAGAGAACGCTTTTAGAAATATAATGGTATTGCTCAAGTCTCAGGAAAACTCACTCAAGCCACAGAGAAAGGGTCAGGGTCAGGACCATTGAATAAGCAACCCTGACTTGAACCAAAAACTAGTAGAGCAACAAAACAAAGCCAGAAAAATAACTGCTCTCATTTGAACTCGTTTTTTCTGGATAAACTGCTCAAATCTGTCACCGACAATTACTTTGAAGCTGTCAAAAACATTGTTGATGGGATGCTGCAGATGCAACAAGATGCCATATACTCCAACTTACACAACCACAACACGTTAACGGCTTCAAAAAATGAAAAAATCAACTCAAAAAAAGAAAGAAGGGTGGAAGACAGAGAGACGTGTCTGATCCAGATGGTGAACTTAATTGACAATTATGAGAGACAGTCTAGCAAACAAGGACGAAGCAAAACATCCAATGGGAAGTACTTTTATACTTTTAATTAAAACATTTAGTCTTTTTTTCGTTCGATTTGAGAGCAAGCAAGTTGTGAAACACTTATTCGTTTACCGTTTAGCTCGTTCATTTAGCCGCCAAAGTGCCTTCAATTTGCTTGTTTTGCTCATTATTAAGTTCACTGTCTGGATAGAACCGTCTCCTTGTCATTCACCGAAGTTTGTGTTTGTGTGTCTAGGACCGCACTGCTCCTAGGATAAAAATCAAACGGCCATGGAATTTAACCTGTTTGTGCAAATGAACACGAGGAAGGCGATGAGTTAAGAGGATTTCCTGTTTATGTTACAGTTCATTTCTTTTAACAGTTTAATATTGAGCACGCGCATCTCGTCAATAATTTGATTCATTTAAAATTTCTGTTTGATTTTCAACTACCTATAACCAAGTAACTGAAAAATTTTGAAATGTGGAATTTAAGACCCAGAGGCGAACGCATTGAGACACCACTTGCAAAATTATTGGCTCAAATTATAGCGTAAAAATCAATGCAAGAACAGCAACATGATTCACAAAGACAAAGTTTTCTTTAAAAAAAGCTCTATTGACAAACTCAGACTAGGCGAATAAACCATTTGTGAGGCAGGAACATTTTTTTCGTATTTAAAAATGTATGCATATATGTATGTTTGTATATGAACGTATATGTACGTATGTATATATGTATCTTTGAAAAACAACTTACAAAAAATTTTATTAAGAAAATATAAAAATCACCAAATAGCAGAAAGTTGACAAAAGTTCCTGAACTCAATTAGTTTCATAATTTGGAAACAAATACCTAAGCTTAACGAAAAATCGGTTCTGCGGCAGCTAAAAAAACAGAAAATCTAAAGTCAGACACATTTTTGACGCGCGGAAAATGTTGTTCACAAAAAAACCAGGCCCTGGCCGGATTCAACCATTGACCTTTGTCGGCACGTGATTTAACTTAATGCCACATGCGCGAGTTACCGCTTTTTTTTATTTTGTATGAACCAATGGTAAAATGATTCAAGTGATTCTGTTAAACTAGTTGTTAAGACGAAGAAAAACCTATATTGCAATTCGATAACGCCTACTAAGCGCAAGCGTAATGTTAAACTCCGAATTTGTAGCTCTTTTTTGTAAAACACGGAATCATTTTCGACTGTGCATCATCTTACTTCAACCAACCTTTGCTCCTATAAAACACACGTGTGCAATATGTTTATATGCCTTATTGGAACAATTCTTAAATTAAAACCAAACATTATTTAAATTATTTAAATAAAGCATTACTAAACAATGCACAGTTAAAAACGCACAGCTCTATAACGCAACTTCATGGTTTATTGAATCAGAATGAAAGATTTTGATTTAGTTGTTAATGTTTATCACAATATGCCAGTAGTAGATGTTGAGGCTGATCAGGGGGGGGGGGGGGTGCATGGAAGACCTCATGTATTAAGATACAATATAGATTTCCGGTCTTCCATGCTATGTATTACGATTGGGGATTGGGTATAGAGTTTACAAGGTATTAAGATAGGGAATACCAATCGTAAGGTTTTAAGGTTTGTGTGATGGTAAGAAAAACGTGGTTTTTGAGAGGAAATGTCTAGTTTTTCCGCAAAAAAGTTGGCGCGTGTTAACTAATTTGTAAATATCAAAGGTTAATTACGTGTAGGTTGTGTAATGAAGGACATTTAATTAGTTTTTTGAAACCTGGTAAGTCAATGGTAAGAGTGTTTGTGTAAAAACTTAGAATTTTTATCGAAAAAATTGAAAAACTTCAGAACACGATTAAAAAGCTATATTTCGACCTAATTTATTAGATAATCTTACTTTCTATCTAATTGAAACAATTCTGAAACCTCCTTCTGAATTTACACCTTCACCAATAAAAGCATTGGAAAGAGCGCGAAAATTGAAGCAGAAAAGATTCAAGTTTACTGCAAATTGTCGAATTACCAGCAATAAATAAACAACAACCTTTGATCTTTTTGGTCAGTTTGGGTCAGTTTTATCGGAAAAACCTCAGTCATAAGACTTCATGAAACTAAAAGAGCTCTAAATGGATGAAATCATTTCGATCTGGCAAAGTAGTTTCTTTAAAAGTAAAAAAGCACTTGTTTTCTTCAGGTGTCTGTTACTTTATTTCCTAATGCAAATTGGCTACGTTTCAGTAAACGTCGCTTTTAGTACAAGATAAAGCCTTATTTTGACCACAAAATCAGCATTTCATCTCACGTTTCAGTTTTTACTGTTTCCTTTGCAGTGAATCCTTTTTAGCCAGCGTAAAAGAGCACGGAGTGCTACCGGCTATTAGAATTCGAGTTTTTTTTTGGTGAGTTTTTGTCAGTAATGATTAGTGCAGGGATCGAGCGTAACACTAACATAAAAATGAGCGGTATTGAATTTTCTTAGCGTATATTTGTGTTTTCAAATGTTAATAATATTTCCACTTCAAATAAATATAATTTTGAGTTGACCAGCCAGAGACCTAATCCGCAAGTGGTTATATAAAATTTGCTAACTTATACTATTTTACAGTCTCTTACCTTGCGAATCGGAGGTCAGATGTAATTTAAACCCGCAATCAACTGATCTGATTGCTTAGCACCATCTCCTCCGATGAATTACAATGGTCCAGATTGCAAGATTTGTTAATGAAATTCAAATTTGTTGGTGCAGCTTGTAACTTAAAATGGACGTAAGATAAAGGTTGCGTAATCAAGTTGCCTGATTTTTATAGGCAGCGTAATTCAAAATGTTTTGTTTGTGTTTTAAAAGTGCAAATTGTCGCTTGTATCGAACCTGTTACTCATTCCATACTGGAAGCAAAACGACTGGATATATAAATTTATTGCGAGGGAAATTAAAGTGAAAATTTTGGATAGATTTTCGATATCAAGCTCTTCGCCACTTGAGCTAGAGGGTACGCGGTTGCCTTTGCACGCTAATGTCGGGTTTGAGTCGCAGTCAGATCTTACTTGTTAGCGTGTATGAAACTGATTTTTTTCCCCGAAAAAAATGAATTATTGGCATCTCGTTTTTCTGCTTAAGTTTGTGAGCTTAGTTTGCGAAGCATGGTTTTTATTTCATAAAAAGAGCTGTAGCGAGCGTAATGTTATAGTGCGAGTATTCTTAGTAGTAGATCTTGGAGGTTAAGGGGGGGGTGCCTGCAGACCCCCATGTTCTAAGATAGGCAATAGAGCATCCGGTCTCCAGGCTATATATTAACATTGGGTATAGAGTCAGCGATGTATTAAGCTTGTGAATAGAATTGTTAAGGTTTCATGGTTTGTGTTATGATAAGAGAATGGTAAGAACAATGGTGATTTTTTTTGGTTTTTGTGTAGAAATCTCAGGTTTTTTGGAAGAAATTTGGGCGCGCGTTATCTAAATGGTAAATATCAATGGTTAATTACGTGTGGATTGTAGAATGAAGGTGTTTTCTTATGTTTTTTGGGTCATATTAAGTCAATGGTAGGCGTTGTTGCACAAAACTTGACATTTTTTAAAATCAAAAGCTAGATTTTTTCTACAAAACATCAAAAAACACACTATATGATCTAATTTGATCAAAGACTTGTTTTATATTATATTCTTATGCTCGACCTAGCAGAAATCTGCTGAAACTTTGAAAAAAAATCAAATTTTTGAGAAAAAAAATTATATTACAAAGAAAGTATATTAATCACTGCATCGTATAGTAAATTTACTGCCAAATTTTACACTTAAAGTAAAAAACTACACAATTACATCAAATTAATTATAAAATTCGAAACATGAACATCATGAATACTATTCAAGTCTGTCTGGTAGAATTCAGAAAGAAGAAATGCTGAATAAATTGCGTAAAATCTACACAAATTATCAGTTTTTTTTAGTTTTCTGGAAACCATTCGCCAATACTTTTTTGTTAGAAAGCAATAAGTTGTTCTTTAACGACCCAAAAAATCAGCAAAGTAGTAAGTTTTGCCTAATTGTGCTATCATGATCCAATGTTCCCCTCTATCATTGCTTGATGCTGAGTTAACAATTGCAAAAGAGTATTTTGTTAGTCGAGGTACTTTATCAGAAGGTTAAGATCCCATGTACTTGAACCTGAGTTCAGGAATTCTTTCAAAAATTGCAGAAGTGAAAAATTATCCATCTTTGCAATTGTTAGCTAATTTACATCTAAAGCAAAGAAATATTTAAGTTGATATTGTAATTTAGGGTGAAAAAACTTAATGAAAATAACAATAACAATGAGACAATAACAATGAAGAGACAATAACAATGAAAAGTCCCAAAAAAGTTAACACTTTTATAGGAACCTGAAAACTCAAAAAAACTAAACATTTTCAGCGACCGTTCCGAATTTGTCATTTCGAACATTTGATAGTCTTTCTCCCAAGACTATCACTTCCGTTACTTGCTCCAAGGGAAACTGGAAAAACAATTCATATCTCAAGCTTTCTCCACTAAGTTCTTGATAATGCAACTGCTC